CCCCGAGGGGCCCCAGACTCTGAGAGGGCACAAGCCGGGCTGAGGGACCCCCCCGAGTGCACAATTTTTGTGCACTGGGCCTATAGTGTGTGTGTGTGTATGTGTGTGTGTGGGTGTATATATATATATATATATATGTTTTTTTTTAAAGCACATTTACGGCCTATAATGATATCGGGAATTGGGTGGAAACGCACAGAGTTCAGCCGGAGGGAGGAAAAGACGCAGCCACATCTTAAGGTCACACTGGGGACAAGGACTCACGTACCGACACCCCAGTCCATCTCCTCGGCCGCGTCCCCGTAGGCACCGTGCTTGCTCTTCCCGGCAAAGTCCTTGGACGCGTACAGGGCCGTGTGGACCTGGATACAGGAGAAGACGAGCAGGAAGGGCCTCTCCGCATTCCTGCAAGAAAATACAAATAAAAAAATCCTGCCCTGACCGGTGTGGCTCGGTGGATAGAGCGTTGGCCTGGGGACTGAAGGGTCCCGGGTTCGATTTCAGTCAAGGGCATGTACCTTGGTTGCGGGCACATCCCCAGTAGGGGGTGTGCAGGAGGCAGCTGATCGATGTTTCTCTCTCATCGATGTTTCTAACTCTCTATCCCTCTCCCTTCTTCTCTGTAAAAAATCAATAAAATATATTAAAAAAACAAAATCCCAAGAGCAACGTTAGTGCCTTTGCCCATTCTGATTAGGATAAAACCAAGATGGCAGGACGCCGTCCGACAGCCGGAAAAACACCACAAATCCCTGATGATCTACAAGTAAGAACACCCACCAAGCCCTGGCTTTTTCGGCTCAGTGGATAGAGTGTCGGCCTGTGGACTGAAGGGTCCCGGGTTCGATTCCTGGTCAGGGCACATGCCTGGGTTGCAGGCTCGATCCCCACTAGGGGGCGTGCAGGAGGCAGCCTATTGGATGTTTCTCACTCATGTTTCTATCCCTCTCCCTTCCTCTCTCTCTAAAACCAACAAATCTATACTAAAAAAAGGGTAATATGCTAATTAGACTGGATGTCTTATGGACATCCTTCCGGACGTCCTTCCAGACAAAGCCAGAGTGGTGGGGGCTGAAGCAGAGGTGGTTAGGGGTGACCAGACCATCAGGGAAGCAGTTAAGGTGGACCAGACCAGCATGGGGGCAGTTATGTGGCAACCAGGCCAGCAGGGGGGCAGTTAGGGGGCGATCAGGCTGGCAAGCAGAGGCGGTTAGGGGTGATCAGGCAGGCAGGCAGGCGGGCGGTTAGGAGCCAATGGTCTGCAGGGATCGGGCCTAAACCGGCAGTCGGACATCCCCCGAGGGGTCTCAGATTGCAGAGCATGCAGGCTGGGCTGAGGAATACCTCCCTTCTGTGCACAAATTTCGTGCACCGGGCCTCTAGTAAGTAAGTAAGTAAATAAATATTTTAAAAATATAATATGGACCAAGGCGTTCCGTTGGTAATTTCTAAGAGTAGAAGTCTTTGATGAGCGTGGAGGAGCTGAGAGTAAGCCACGGTATTTCATGGACTTTTGCCACACAGGGCGGACCATGAGGCCTCCACACTACTTATTCTGGGGGAAGTTTATTCACCCCGGGAAACACTATCATACTTTCTTTTCAAAACGCAGATTACGGACCTAAAAAAAAACCCAAAACCCCAGCTCAGACTCCCCCAAATGAACATGCAATGACATATGTACTCGACCCTAAATAGACAGCTACATTATGCATGATGCGTGGGTACAATCTCGCGCTCATCTCTTCTCCCGTTTATTTTTAGATTCGAAGTTAAGGCGGAAAAAAAAAAAAGATAAAAGCAGCCGAAAAAGTCCACCTTCCAAGCACATATATGGTCACGGCAGGAAATACAAGATGAGGTTGATAGATGTGCTGAGAAGGCAGAGCTAGGGCCGTGCCAACCACCTGGAGGGAAAACAAAGAGATGAAGAAAGAGGAAGCAAGCGGCATGATTGGCGGGATCACATGACCGAGGTGAGCATCAAAGAAATAAATGAAAAGGTGGGTGCAATGAGCAAACCACGGAGCCCAAGTCAGTGCCGTGCGCGGTGAGCAGAGTGAGAGCGGGTGAGTGGAGTCGAAGACGCACCACTTAGTTCAGTCAGAGCCACGGAATGTGACTTTGTGTGGGAATGTCGGGAAGATCCCGGCCGGAGGGACAAGGCCATTCTCAACGCCCTCATTGTAAAAACGCCCCCGCAAACGGGATTCGTTTTCTATCATCTCCACGACATCACAGACGCCAGCTAAGGTCCTGGGTGTCAACGCAGAGTGAACAGGTTTTTTCTTTTATCACTTTATTTTTATTTATTGATTTATTTGATTGTTTATTTATTTTTTAATCCTCCCCCGAGGATATTTTCCCATTGGTTTTTAGAGAGAGTGGAGGAGAGAGGGAGAGACAGAGAGAAACATGGATGAGAGAGAAACACATCGATGGGTTGCCTCCTGCACGCGTCCTGCACAGGGCCCAGGCCGGGGAGGAGCCTGCAACCGAGGTCCATGCCCTTGACCGGAATCGAACCCAGGACCCTTCGGTCCGCAGGCCGACGCTCTATCCACTGAGCCAAACCGGC